TCCATCCTTCCACAGCAAATGATTTCCTATCCCCAAATCCTCCAGCCCTTTTACACATCCATGCCTGGACTCCTACTATTCCCCACTTCCAATCCTTCCTCTCAAACTTATCCTTGAAGATGCATCTCTACACCTGCCTTCCAAGACTTTCAAGATTCCAAATTGTAGCTTTGATCTTTTCCATCTCTTTATTCTCAAACAATTTTCCTGTGCCTAATAAAAACTTATTTCATCGGGTGATTTAAAATAAGTCTTTCCTTTCTCTGCTAATAGATTATAGACTTCCCAACTGTGTGGCTGCAGAAACAGTAGTTTTCCAAAGTATGCTGGTGGAAAGAGTCAACAGTTTACAAAGATAATTATTGAATGAAGAAATTTTTCCAGGATTTTTCTTGCACTTGTCTTTCACCAAAAAAAAAAAAGGGGGGGGGAAACAATTTACTCGAATGTTCACATTATTTCTTTAAAACTTTAGTATGCTAAGGCATAAATAATAAAAATGAAGCAATGCTATGGAGATGTGAGAGATACTGACAGTTTCTCTTTTTTTCATGGTGATATAAAATATTATAATTAATTCTTATTTCTTCTTCCATTCCCATAGCTATGAATTTTTAAAGGTTTAAATATCATATTGATGTATCATTTGTCACAATAAAAACCCAGGGGGTTTAAGAGATTGCTTAAGATTTGAAAATACAACAATAACAATTCTTATGGTTAAATGAAAACAATCAAGCATGACTGACTAAACTCTTCTATCAAACTCTAAAATCTCCCAGTGTTTGCAGATCTATTAATAGCCTTTTATCGTAAATTTACTATTATCTGAAATAGTTTCCAGTGAAGCCAAAGCAAAGCAGATAGCTTATGTTATAAATTCCTTTAGAAGGGTTAAATTTCAAATTTACATGCATTTAAGTGGGGAGAAAATAAAAGAGATAAAATGCATAAATCTCACGTGCTTTATTTTCTATAGAAAATGTCAAATACAGGCTGTCATTTCTACAGCATGTCAGTTATCTGCAAAGCACTAGGAACCCTTCTCTGTCTGTCCTCACTTCATGTCTCCTAGATAATTTCCTATGGATCATTTTGTTCATTTTCCATTCACTCTAGTTCACCAAACCTCTGGGAATTGGCAGAATGTGCCACCATGTCTATCTGGTCCAGGAGAATGTATGCCTTTCCTCTACCTAGATGCCTCCTCTACAGAGGAGACTGTATTGAACGATTAAGTGTATGTGGATATATATGCCGTGGTCTGAATGTTTGCATTCACCTAAAACTCATGTTGAATCTCTGAGGCCCAAGGTGATTGTTTTAGGAGGCAGGCCTTTGACATGTGAGCAGGTCATGAGGGCTGAGTCTTGCTTTTATAAAAGCGGCCCCACAGAGCGTCCTTGCCCCTTGCCCCATGAAATGACAGAGCCCTCTGCAGCCTAGAACATGGGCCTCACAGCAACTCCATCATGCTATCCTTCCAACTTTGACTCCCATCATCCAGAACTGTGAGAAATAAATTTCTGTTGCTTATTAGCCACCTACTCTATGGTATTTTGTTATAGCAGCTTGCATGGGTTAAGACAGAGTACCTATGGTTATATGGGATTGTAAGTTTAAATTAAATCAAACTTAAACTTTACCGAACTGTATATAAAGAGAAAAGCCTATTAGGAAAGTTAATAATGCTAGTGACCTGGTGTGATTCCAGAAGAATTCTGGTGAATGTTGAGTGCATCCTGGTCCTGGAGGAGGGGGGCATTTGGGCAATGAAATATGCAGGGACACAGAAGGGGCTAACCACTGCATGCCCGGGTTTGCTTGAGGGGAAGAAGAGGGCAAGAGTGAACAGGTGAGTCTGCCTACATTGTCTGCTGGACAGAGGAGAAAACAACCTTGGCCAGATACTAAAGTATTTAAACAAAGGAAGTTACCCTGTTAAATCAAGAGTACATGGAGAGTATTACTGTCCTCTCTTCAGAAGAATCCAATTCACAATCAAAATTACAGATCTCAGATGGGTCAGGGTAAGTCTCTCCCACTTGCATACTTCCATTTTCTTTACCAGATCAGGAGTCTAGTTAATTGGACAACTGTTGTGTATTTTCCTATGATGAATCAGGTGCTTTCATCACAGAGTTTAAATCACAATCAGAGACCTCAACTTTTCAATCTTTCCAGCTCTGCCTGAAAAGTCTCGAGACTCGAGAAACCCCATGTTAGCTGTTGCTCAACTGAGCCACCCCAAATGAGAATGTAAACGAGAGAGGAGCTTATATGTGCTCCACTCCTAAATTCCGTCTTTAACTTTAGTCCAAAATAAAAAAAAATATTAAATTTGCACAGTGGCACCCAATAAAGTCATGTGTTCGCATATCAGGTAAATATTCCAATACAATTATTTATATGATTATCCTGCTGCAAGTTTTGGATTAAATGATTTAATAAATATTTTGATTGATGTTCAGTTATGCATGGATAACAACTAAGTACTTTAAGGGCTAGGTGTTTATCAGACTTCGTGTCCTTGTTGTAATTATTGCCTATAAAGAACCTTACAAATATAGTAAATATTTTTGTGTACTATTTATGATATTCTCAGATTTTACAAAAGTTTAATGAGTTCAGTAGCTAGCATCCTTCTGATACTGTTTATTAATCACATGGGTAAATTCTGTGTATTTTTTTTCATTATTAGAGTTCCAATTACAAAAATAAAACGTGGTAATAAAAATAAACATAAAACAAAAAAACCATAGAGACAGAAGTTGGAAGTCTCTGTTCCCCCTCCCTACAGCCTGCCAGTCTCCCCAGATGAGAGCATTGGGGTTACAGTTTTAGAACGTCTGTTTTCAGTCACTTAGGTGCATATCCTGTTAACGTGTCTATAATTACACACATGTATATGCTTACATATACAACATGCATTAGCCTGTGACAGCTATCTCTTTCCTCCAAAAAGAGTGTATCATTTCAACCTCCTAACAATAGGGTAGAATGAACAGGCAGCTCCGTAATCCCACAACGATGTAGAAGTTGAACTTTCTACTTTTTTGCAAATCTAACAGGTGGAGAAATTACCGTGTTTTATTTGCATTTTCCTGATTCTGCATTGAAGTGCACATATTTTTTTTTTTGCACGTATTTTAAAGTGTTTATGGGCCTGTTGTCTCCTTCTGTGAACAGCCTGTGTACGTGTTTTCCCCATGGGTCTAGTGTCACGTGTGTCACTGTTTTCTTTCCATCCATTTGTATGATAACATGATTTAGAATCACACACATTACCTGGACAGAGCAATTATTTTCTATAGTCTGACCCTTTTCTTTTACCTTTTTTTTTAAATAGAACTTTTAATTTATATATAGTGAAATCTGTCAATATTTTTCATTAGTTGTATTTAGATATCATGTTGACCAACATCATTTACGAAATAAGTCATCCCTCCTCAAGGACTTGGAATAATTTCAACAAATTAAGTTCCTATACAGGCAGAGATTTGTTACTAGAATGCCTTTACTGTATTACTAATCTGAGTATTTTTGCACTGAGTTCATATTATTTTAATTAAAGGTGATTTTGGGGATGCTTTGATCCCAGAGAGAGTCCTTTCTTATCATTCTTAAAAATATATATTTCCACTTGGATGTTCTACTCTTTCAGGTCAGTTTTGAACATGTTTATAAATTTCTATTAAAAATCCAAATTATTTTTAGACTTTATTGAAATTAAAACTGTAGAAAATTTGTATATTTAAATTTCATCCCTATCATCTAGAAATGTACTAAGTATTCCCACTTATTAGGATATTCTTTTGTATCCTACCGTTAAGTTCTAAATTCTTTTAAGATAAGCCTTAAAAAAAAAAAGATAAGCCTTCATATCTCCCATTAGATATGCTCCGGAAAGTTTTAGTGTATATAGATATTATACTTCTAATATGTTGTATCCTTTGTGGAAATCCACTGATTTATGTTTTTCCTGAATGCAGTCTTCTACTAGTACTTACTGCCAAATGTGACTGTCTTCTCTTTATAATATTTATAATTTATACCATTTTCTTAAATTATTGCATGAGTTAGGATCTTCTGGATAACATAAAGCAACATTTCCGATACTGAGAAAGTTGTTCTGTTCTTGACTTTCATGGACTTTTTATAATAGTTTGCTATTAAGTGTAATGCTTTCTATTGATAAATTCACTTATTTTATGGTTCTCTGTAAGCCATGCATACAACCACATTATAACATTGTTGAAAAATGTTATGGGGAAAATATGTTGTTTTTTTCATAGAAACAATGTTATGATGTGGTTATATTCATGGCCAAAGGCCAAATCCCTTACTTTGTTTGCAGATGATCAAAGCAACATACTTGTGTATCTGATTATTGTGACTATACACTTCATAGCATCAAGTTGAGCAATACAGTATGATCATTAACATTATTATTTGTTTTGAGACTTCCAAGAGCAGATCTGTGCAGGGCAGGAGGAGTGGTTGGTACAACCAAGAAACCACTTGGGTATCTGCTGAGAGAATACTTCCCAGTCCTCCCGGGGAAAGTGGTCCCCCAGAGGTGGGAGCTCAGAAGGAAGAGTGCTGACCCCAGATGATTGCTGGACGCTTGGACCTGGTCTGGAGGAAAGCCAGGTCTGACGATGTACAACATACATACTCACTCCCCTGTTTCACATGCTATTTTCAACAAATGCCACGTGGAAGAGTACGTGGTAACTAAGCTCTGTAAGTTTCAGTGTTTGGGGACAAAGTTGAAGGCCGGCCCGTAATTGTTTATGTTGCATTCTAAACAAATGCTCTACCTCATAGGAGACATGGGCCAGGTAAACTTCAAGCGTTAAACGGAAACACTTCTTAAGGTGTACAACTTTTCATGCCATACTGCCCCGTAGAAGACCACACCTACCACCCAAACAATTTAAATGTTTCCACATCTCCACATTTCTTTCTGATTTCCTGCTTCGTTGACCTCCACCTACCATCACAGCTGGGCAACGCATGGTTCCACTGGTGGTTCCTCTCACAGATCAGGGGCTCGTCATCACTCAGTGTATATCCTGGATCGCAGCTGAACGTCACTGTGGATCTGATACCAAAATTACTGCCGTGCCGATGCCCATTCACAGGGATCCCGGGGTCGAGGCAGGAGTCCGACTCCAGGGTCACACCTGCACGCACAGAAAAAAATGCATTGCATATGGAACTCTGCTGGTTTCTAGAAAAAAAAGTTTGTTCCATACACATATAAAATATTCTGAGACATTATCAGACCTGGAAAGGTATTCAAGTGAATCCAATAATCCTTAAATGTAAAAAAAAATACATTTTCTTATATTTGACCCTGTTTTTCTGTGTAGAGAGATACGTTGTTAACTATTTACTAGATGACATGTAAGTAGCACAACCCTGAATGATCCCTTGATGTCTGAATTTTACTTCTCTTCATTTGAAAACCAGGGAACTGTACTAAATGAAGTCTGTATCATCCTGTTTTCTAACTCTGGCCCTCCCCTTCCCCTTCTTATTATAGTTTATGTTCCAGTTAGATTCTGGCAGTCGTCATACTTCAACTTTCATAGACATGCACACAGGCACCCAAGTCCATACACATATAATGCAAATTAAAACCACACTGGGTTTGATTTTCTAAAATTGCATTCCATACATCCGTGCATTTTTCAAATTTGCACTTAAGTCAGCCACTTTCGAGATGGCTACAATTAGCCCATGCTAAAAGATGCTAAAAAGTAAAATGCTATAAAAAGTCAAGTGATTATGATTATGTCATTATAAGAGTTTCTTTTCTCTGTCTCTGAGATTTCTCTTTATTTTTAGAATATATATTTGAACCGATAAGGAAAATGGGAGTAAGGGAAGATGTCACTGTGATGGTTTTGCATTCAAAGAAATAAAAAAGACTTTGCTATAGCTATATACAACTCTCTCAACAAGACTTAGAACATAACAATTATGACTTGGGCTATTAGTCCAAAATCTGAAGTCATTACAATATTCAGACTGCTTAGTCCCCCGCCAATGATCTTTGGAATAACATTTCCAATCATTGCATAAATTTTACCAAAGTTGGAGTGATGCACCTGACCTTACAGCCTCTCTCATTAAATCAAATACATGATATACAACTAAGGGGTGACTTTTTAAAAATAAACAATAAGTGATAATATTTCTTCATTAACATAGCAAAATGTGATTCCATAGGCACCAGATCACAAGGAGGACAGCTGAGCCACCACTGAAAAAATGGGTAGCAAGGGATGTGCTTTCCAGGAGAAGTCTAGCTCCTAAGAGGTCGCCTGCAAACCCTTGGAATTTCTTGAGTGTTGGGGGTGTCTTTATTGTTCATGGTGTGCTCCTGGGCCAACAGGACTTGAGGCTACCCGACAAGGAAGGGGCAGCTGAGCCGGAGTTCAACCACGTGGCCCATGATTCAATTAATGATGCCTCTGTAATGACACACCAACAAAATCTTTGGACGTGGATACTCCAGTGAGCTCCCCAGATTGGCAGGACTGTGCATATTGTCACATATCGTGGCTGGGAGGAGGTGACACCATTCATGACTCCATGGGGAGAAGACAAGCAGAAACTGCAGGTAGGAACCCCCTTTCCAGATAACACCTTACGTGTCTCCTCCTCTGCCTGGTCTAATTTGGATCCTTTCCTGTAATGAATGTGACTGTGAGTATAACAGCTTTCAGTAGGTGCTAAATTCTTATATCAAATTATCAGAACTGAGGGTCATTTAGGGAACACCCTGAACTTGCGGTTGGTTCAGAACTGGCAAAATAAGCAAATCTTGCCCTTTGCAAATCTGTGTGCTTAACCTCAGAGTTTGGTTACAATGGGTAAAAAATGGAAGATGATCATAGTGAAGATTTCCAAAGGAAAAAAATAAAACAATGAAGAGAAAAAGCAAAGTAAAAAAATATATATATATATATATATATATATATATGTATATAGCACCATTTTTCCCAAGAACTTTTTCTTAAACATTCTCACTAATTTCCTGAAAACTAAGATGTGCCTACTGCCTAAACAGCAGGATGTAACTGTCATGACTTCTTGCAAAGTATGGCAGCAAATGCATGCATACTTTCCTTTCCTGCATGAGATACGGTTCTGCCAAAAGCAAGGTGGGTATCATTTGTCCCCAAACCCATTACCCACTCTGCTCCTCTCTCTTTTTCTCTCTCTCTCCCACTACACACACATTCATATTCTAAGGTAATGTTTATGACCTCTTCCATAACACCTCAGAGATTATATGTAGTATATGCCCCATATAAAATGGGTACATGATACTGGCTGATAGATTAACACAAGAATTCCCTCAAAAGAAGCTTTGCCTAAGAAATGGAGTGGTCCCCAGATCCCTGACAAACCAGTTAACTATATTATTTCACCTTGTCCAATGGTTTCCAATGATCACTGAACTCACTGTAGCAAACAGAATTAATAGAAATTGTTATTTTAGATGTTGTGAGAACAATATATTAATGAATAATATTCATAATAATACTGATAAATTGTAAGTAAACTTTTTCCCACATAAAATTTGTAAGGAAAAAAAGAGAAAAACATCAGAGGAAACCAAAGCATACAAATGTAAACACAGAATTCCTTACATGTAAAACTGAACTAAAAAAATAAATCTATGTTGAAGTCATAACATTATTCCAACATTCATTCATTCATTCATTCATTCATTCATTCATTCATTCATTCATTTTTACAAAATAATGGACAGAAATATTAGGTTGTAAAATGTGCAGTTATTGTACTCCTTTGCATTAAAATATATTTGAATGGATAGTACATGTGAGGATAACTGTTGAGCGGTAGGATTATAATAGATTTGATGACCAATTCACCCGAAACACACCATATGCAGGGATTTTAAAACAAGATGGCAGCAGGGAGAACGCAGGGCAAAGTAGGTGACATGGCTCACTAGGATCAGACCTTTAAAATGAACTAAATGTCCTGTGAGGACAGGTGGCCAATTTACTTTGAAGGAAAAGTACAAAGTACTTTGAAGGAAGAGTGCTTCAAAGCATTGTTTCGGGCATTTTCCCCTTCTTGTGTCGAGCCCTCACGATACAAAGAACTGGCATCAGCGGATTTTGTTGAAGCTTTGAATACGTGCCAGTTCTGTCCCAACTGTTCTTTCCTTGGAACTTAATGTGACTACGCATTTTTGACACAGGTGATACAAATCCACTCCTTGTCCTTTGGCCTGTCAAATACGTGATTGAATAAATTTGCTCTCCGTGAATAAAAGAAGTTGATGATTTTGAAGCCACCCATGTGCAGATTATATTAATGTACATTTGACAGAAGTAAAGTTCTGCTTAACTACGTGTTTTAATACAAGTTCTAGTCCCAGGAAGGGGATGGAAATTCTGAATATCTTTTATCTCCCAAGGGTGGCCACTTTCCACAGCCTTCGAAAGGGTTTGAAATTGCAGTTACAGTCCCATTTTACAGAGGAGGAAATAAGCCAAGAAATTGAGTAAACTGGTCATGTTAAATTGTTCACTAAGATTCACAGCTCAGCCTTAGCCTGCTTTCTCCTGCCTGCTTTCTCACGTGTGTGTGCGCGCCCACGGCCACAGCGCGGCTGATTTTCCAACTGCATGGCATCTACAGCCATTACGTCTTGACCGGTTTTTCTGTTTGATCTCAAGAAATGGCATTAAATCTCAGAAACTAATCTGCATGTGCTCACAAACACACATCCCAGAAACCATACTTCTTTGTCTCACAATTTTTTAAAATTGCACCATGTATGAATTGCACAGCAGGATATAGACAATTACATGCAGTGACTCTTGCCTATTTCTTGAAATGTTTTTAAAAGATACCTTTGAAAACATTTCCCAAAACATGCTCTAAAATTAAATGGAAGACATCCATATACTTGAGACATCCATTTATGTTCAAGTTCCCTACAAAGTTGTGGTTTTTTTTAAAGTGGTGATTCAAAGCACTACAAACAGAGCGAGTAAGCAATTATTCTGGGGGGATAATACAATGACTATTATATAAAGGAACTGCATCACATTCCTTATGAAGAGTAAAGTAATAAAAGGGCAAACAGTAATTGGACACTGTATCTATAAGATCGAGGATTTAAGACTCAGCACGCAGATGAGAACTACAATTCTAGGTATGCTCTGAGGAAAACCTTGACAAAATGACTTCGGCCCTTCAGCCTCGCAATTCAAAAAGAGTCGAAAGTAATGCTGTTTATAGCAGCTCCCATTACCTTATAGCAACACTGCAGAAGGAAGTCAGTCTTGAAGAGAGTGCGGCTATTTCTGCAATGCTTTATGTTTGTAAAGTAGATTTTCATGTGCCCGTTTGGGCATGAAGTGGTATCGTTGAAAGAATTTTTTTAAAGCAAGGAAAGTTTACAGTGTCAAACATTTATGACAAGGTATGAAAGGGGGATGGACCATGTTATTATTTTCAAATGGCATAAGGAATGTGATAATCATTTGGGTTATGGGCAACCCATTTTTTAAAGATTGTTTTCTAGTGCTTCCAATCTGAACAGATTTCTTCAAAGAATACTAGAAATGGTCAACATTTTAACGGGGTTGGTAATGCGTGTCTTTTTTTATGTTCTTCTCCTCTTCCCGTCTCTCTCTGCTTCTCTCTCTGCTCTTTACTCTTCTATTCCACAAGTGCCGCCCCGCACCTGCTCCCCGCCCGCCTGCCCGCAGACTCTCCCTCTACCTGGAACTCGTGAGTCAGGCCAGCACCTGCTCTGGCCTGCCTGGGCTGGATCAGGCACCCACTGCCACCTTCATGTCACCTCCTGGAGGACCTGACAAAAACCCAAGACTTCTGGCCTGCAGGCATGCTGAATCCCAGTAGCTGGAAGGTGAACTTAGGAGCCTGCGTTTTACCAGGATTCCCGGGTGAGTGCGAATGCACAGTAACATTTGAGGAAAACTGCCCCTTCAGCATGCTTTCTAGACAAGGGTGACCCTCTGAGTTGGCGCCAGGGTCTTCCAGAAGTACTTAGGTCTCCATCCACCCGTGGCAGCAGCAACAAGGAACATCTGAGCTGGTATTCTGGCATCCACTCCGTTTTCAAGCCGGCAGGTAATGGTTACCCGTAAGGCCAGCCAACAAGCGCCGGCCTTTCCGGACTCATTTCTACAAGAATGCCGTATCCCGGACTCATTTCTACAAGAATGCCGTATCCCGGACTCATTTCTACAAGAATGCCGTATCCCGGACTCATTTCTACAAGAACGCCGTATTCCGGACTCATTTCTACAAGAGCGCATTTCCTTGTTTCTCCTCAAATACAGAATAACTGATAAATGAATTGAGGTGATGACAAGTCAAGCTTCAGGGTGATGTCCTTCCAGGTAATATTTTCCTAATGTACTTTCGATACTTTCCTTCAGGGGAATTCATAAAAATGCTTGGGGCCTTCTGGAAGGACCACTAGGAGTTCCCAATGCAAAAGTCAGCACGAGTGTTTAGACCCGTGTCCCTCCTGAGAGGCTGGGCAGTTGGATGCTATGGGAACCTTACCCATCTTCACCACCAGTGACGGTTCTGCCCTCTTCTGTGACTGTCGTGTTAGCTCCCAGTTCTTCCTTTCAAGTAGGAGGGGGGAGGGATTCTAGGCCCCAAGGGATCAGAAATGTCTGACACCCCACAATTATCACTCTGCAAATGCAGATGCACCAGCTTAGTGATGGCTTTCATCTTCTTTGACTGATACCCTCAACGAAAAAAAGGCAAGGAGCGCTGTTGTCCGAGAGCTCACTCCAGGCTATGGACGCATGCTTTTCTAAGGCTCAGCTCTACTGTCACACATAGGAGAAATGAAAAGAATCCTGAAACGTCACATAGTCAACCATGTAAGATTAGAAAAATTATTGTTATAATTATCTGCATATGATATTCTATTAGTAAGGATGACAAGCTAAAAAGGAACTTGTGACCTGACTTTCTATCATTCTTTGAATCCCAGAAAGAATGAGGAAGAATAACCCATTTATTTAAACCAGTTAGGTGAGTAAATGCAATCAGTTTCTATGACCTGCATATAGGCTTTAGGACACATTTTTTTAAAGGATACTAGAAAAAATAGGCAAAATTATCTATGCCTACACAAATGAGGGAGAGGAAAGGGAAGAATGGGAAACTGTTCTAGTATTTTTTAGGACCGGAAAATATTTATTCTCTTAAGCATCAGCCAGCTGGGTGTTCAAAGGCCAAGGAGCTCCAGACTTAAGAAACCGGGGTGTGCTAGAGAGAGTACAGCCTTTTGGTCATCAGTGCTTAGGAGATTTGCAAATCTGGATGGTTGTAATGTGCACATATCTCTACTCCAAAGAAAAGTAATGACTTGAAGGGACGTTAAAAAGGAATGAAACATGAAACTCTCTGGTTCTTAAATTGTATATCAAGTTTAAAAAATACATTACTTTGAAATAAATGTTGCATGTATATGAAGTGAAACTAACTGAATTAAATTTGAAATTAATCATTAAATCATGAATAGTCAATTTTCTTGCTATCCAAACAAGTGTAATGTGACTTATTTTTTATCAATAAGTACACATTGACTTGGATATGAGCATATGCATGTATATGTTTGCATGTAATTCCATACATGAGCAAGGGAAACAGAGAAATATACATAACAGGTTATTAATCTGAGTTGTTGGGTGGGGTTTGCACAGAGGTTGACATGAGTAGCAAGGGGGTGATGTTTGGACAGGAAGGTGAGAAATAAAAATACAAAACTATGATTAAACATCCAACATGTTAGATATGACCCCATTCATGAGCATTTGTAAAATTATATGTGTGGGTTTATGTAAATATATATATTTATATGTTTTTAAATAACACTGAAACTTCATTTTGTTTGTTTTGGGATAAGACTGTGAAAAAGAACAACCATAAAAATCTTGAAAAATAGGGTTTAATTCCTTTAAATCCTGTGTTAGCCTGCATTCATCCATCTTCTTCACTTTACTCCGAAAGTGAGGCATTTTCAAACACAGGGAATAATGTTTGTTTGCTTGTTTTTAAAGATTTAATTAATTTATTTATTTGAGAGAGAGCAAGAGAGCCTAAGCAGGGAGGAGGGGCAGGGGGAGAGGGAGAAGCAGGCTCCCTGCTGAGCAGGGCGGGACTCGATCCCAGGACCCTGAGATCATGACCTGAGCCAAAGGCAGACGCTTCACCCACTGAGCCACCCGGGATCCCTGGGTTTGTTTGTTTTAATTGGCTGGTGTTAAACTTGTATTCCCAGGGTGAACTCCCTCAGCTGTATTGCAGAACTACAACTGATAACATATTATTATAAAATGCTGTAATGACCTGACCTTCTAATTTCAGAAGCTAAGGTTATGACAAATTTGTATGTATGGAAATAGAAACGGGAGCATTTCACATTGGGCAAGATACCCTGCATGGTCTTATTTTAGTAACTGTTTTAATTGTTTCTAATAATCATTTTAATCCTTGTTCACACTTGCTCACAGCAATAGTCACGCATCATTTTGTAGGATTCAGCTGTGTTTTAACTCCTCTCCGGTCTGTGTTCCATGTTCTCTCCCCAGGGACATGTGCTCAAGTGAACGAACCAACAGATAAGAACCACGATGGCGGGGCGCCTGGGTGGCTCAGTCATTAAGCGTCTGCCTTCGGCTGAGGCCATGATCTCAGGGTCCTGGGATCGAGCCCCGCATCGGACTCCCTGCTCGGAGGGAAGCCGGCTCCTCCATCTCCCACTCCCCCTGCTTGTGTTCCCTCTCTCGCTGTGTCTCTCTCTGTCAAATAAATAAATAAAAAATCTTAAAAAAAAAAAAAAAAGAACCACGATGGCCCTACCCACATTTTTCCAGTAAAGAATTCCCCTAAGCCACTGTTCAGGAGATATAATTGTAGCAACAGCCTCTCTGGCCAGGACCTCTATTTCTCATGGTAGAAGTTTACCATTACATCAAACGGTGAATGAACACACTATTTAATTATTTACTTTTATAATAAATGAATAAATATATTTTTTGGAGTTTTAAAGTAAAAACCCACAAGATGCTCTCTTATTAGTAAGAGAAAGTGCTTATGATGGCCAGTGCGGACAGAGGCAGTGAGGGTCAGGTGAGCGCTCGGCCCGGACGTGTGTCTGGACGCAGGCTAGTGGTGGCCGGTGCGCCCTCCGACTTACTCTCGTAGTGAATGAGGAAACCCACGCTGGAGCGGCTGTTGTCAGTGGTGAACAGCAAGTACATGAAATGCCCCGTGCTGATCAGGAACTGGGGAGCTTGCGTGCCGTGGTACTCTCCGATCAGTGGCGACGAGTTGGCTGGCCCGTCTCGGACCTCCAGAGTGTCATAGTTGACTTCCGTCTGAAATCTGTGGAGATTTGTATCCAGTCAGAAAAGCAAAGCTGCATTAACTTATATACATTCCCCAAATATCTTCATTCACTAATTGCACACCGCTGTATATCACTATAAATAAAAGATTTAGAATTTTACAAACTTAAAAAAACACCCAGGCGCATATGATATTGAAGCATCAGTTTTTCTAGAAGGAAAGGTACAGCCTAAACCCTTCCCTCTTACTGAATACTCAGTCACGTAACATCCGAAGCACAAAAGACTGCAGTCTTTAGCTCTAAAATAAAAATACTGTGAACCAGGTTAGTTTTTGGAGAGATGAAGAAAAGAAGGCAGGAAGGAAGGAAGGAAGGAAGCAAGGAAGCAAGGAAGGGAGGGAGGAAGGAAGGAAGGAAGGAAAAGAGAAGAAAGAAAGAAGAAAGAAAGAAAGAAAGAAAGAAAGAAAGAAAGAAAGAAAGAAAGAAAGAAAGAAAGAAAGAAAGAAAGAAAGAAAGAAAAAGAAAGAAAGAAAGAAAGAGAGGGAGAGAGAGGGAGGGAGGAAGGAAGAAAGAGAGAGAAAAAGAAAGAACACTAAACTAAAAAACATCGATTAGTGAACAATCATTATGCATTTTCGAACTGTGTTTCATGATCCCCTGTTGAGCTTGATTATGGATATCTTGAAATGTGCACATGAAAAGATATGATCTCCTAAAGGAAGAGAATAATTCAAAATACATGGCAATACTTCAAATAGTTTTCAGGAAAAAAAAAATCCCGTGCCTTTTTAAGCTGCATTAACTCTTTTCTGGACACTAGAAGAAGATTTAGCACATTGCTGCTTCAGAAACAAAAGGCTGCTTTAATGATTTGAACAGCTTCCAAAAAGTGCTTAACTTTTCTTTGAGAAGGACATTATGCTTCCAGAGAATCTGGCCTGATGTTATATTTATATACAGTCGCAGCCACTTGGGTCCTCTTTGAAGCAATGAAGACACCATTCCAGGCACTGAGATAATTTTCTAAATGGGCCCATCTCGTCCTCAAAGAGCTAACCCGGTTTCCAAGTGTCCGGCTGTGCTCTCAGGGAGCAGCTTACGCCTTGTGAGCCTCTGATTCACTCAGCGACTTTCAGACTAAGACTTCTGTGGAAGCTTGTATCATTATCCCCCCATCCTCTGCATCAAATAATGCTGATGGAGAAGAAGAGCGAGGGTGAGTGCAGGCTCTCCTGGCTTCATGGCATGGAACCACAACAAATGATGCTGAAAGCATCGGGCTCTGCCCTGGTTCTCACTGAATCACATATACTCCTCTTAGAGCAAATGGAGGACAATGATGCCCTATTTTTGCAACTAACTTAGGATGGCCCTGTGGCCCCGATATCCCATAGAGAACTGGAAACACTTGCCATTTCCCATGACTAGATCCAATGGGGTAGCCGCCTCTTTCACTTTTCTAAAATGTCCTCTAAAAACCCTGTGGTTTCTCAGTGGTCTGAATTTAAATTCAAGAGGTTTGGATAAAGCATGAAATAAATCTCATTTGAAAAATTTGTGCTACAGTCTTCACACCTTCTTTCTGGAACAACAGCTAGGACAGAGAGAGTGCCCTTCCCAAGCTGGGAGAGTCCCGGGTCGCCTTGGAGAGAGAACTCCAATCCTTTTCCATTATTTGGCAACCTGACGCACTTTGTATAGCAATAACATCAGTAGGGACTTTTAAATCCTATTTACAAACACATGCTTTTATTAGGATGTCAGCCCTCTGCTGGAGACATAAATCTTTAAAGAGTAGTGTAACAATCACAAATGCCCAAAAATATCAGAAATACTGGCTCTTGTAAATGGAATTCAGCAAAATATCACAGTTCCACAATCTTGCAAAGACAAGATGGAGAAAAATTATATGTCTCTTTGTTCAGGCAACTGAAAATAGAGTGCTAATAACTTGTACCAGACCGGGATGTAAAGTCACAATTTTTACTAAATGCTTTACATTTGATGTGATGCCAGGAATCAGGAAGTGCTTTGCTCTTCCCCCTCTCAATACCAGAAAGTAATGAAAATTAATAAGAAACCCAACTTAATTTACTGAATATTATAGAGTTAATTTTTTCTCAATGATTAAGTTTATATGCAAGGATCCATTCTCCAGCATAATGGATACATAAGCCAAAATTTTAATTTTCTTCTGAGAGATTATCCTACTGGAGATTATTATGTTACTAGACATAATAAAATGAACAATAATTTCAAATACAAATAATGCTAAATGATAATGCAATTCCCACTAAAGATCTTCCTGTATATATTATTATTAATAGAAAATTAGTGGAAAACAAACAAAATAATATAACAATGTTCATACGCCTTGAGACATTGTAATATCCTGAATATTAAAACCCAAACTCTTTTAGTCAAGAAGAAGTTCCTTGGGTGCCTGGGTGGTTCAGTTGGTTAAGCGACTGCCTTCGGCTCAGGTCATGATCCTGGAGTCCTGGGATCGAG